ATTATTTTGTTATTGAAGGTAAGAATCCAAATATAACAAATAAAATAAAATAAATTGAGCATAGTTCACATTCCATAATTATTAGGACCCATTGATTTGTCTCTTTTCTTACAATTATGAACCTACCATTCCATGTCATCTACAACACTACAGTACTAACTACTCATGCTTTCAGATCCAATCCCATATCTCCCAATAATATCTCTTCCACAATGGCATCATCTCAAGACTCCCACTCCTTCCATTGGCAGTTCTCTGAAATTCGACGACAACGATTTCCAAATCGCGGCCATACACTCTTCTTCGTCATCCTTCTTTTCACCATCATAGTTATAGCTACACTTTTTTTCCTTTACGCTCGCTGGATCAACAAGTTCCGCTCTCCATCAACCACAGATCCTGTTGGGAGTGGTACTTCAGTTCATACGCCTCCGCCTGCACCACAAGGTCTTGACCCGATTTTTATTAATGACTTGCCAATTATACTGCACGCAACTTGTTCGGGTAGTAGCACAGTAATTGAGTGTTGTATTTGCTTGGGAATATTCAAGATGGTGATAAGGTAAAAGTGTTGCCCAGTTGTCAACATTCTTATCATTCCGATTGTGTTGATAGGTGGCTTAGAAATCAGTCCAGTTGCCCTCTCTGTCGTGCCTCCCTCCAATTTGACCTACCCCTGTGACTTAAAGGAGCGGAGCCAGCATACATTTTAGGGGTTTATCTGAACCTCCTTAAGTGGAAAATATTATTATTTATGTTTGGTTAATTTTTTTTTTTTTTATGTATACAGTATACATAGTTGATGTAAACCCTTGGGTTAGATCGTGTGTTTAGTTTTCCAAATTTTGAAATCTTTATTAAAAAATTCTAGCTCCGCCACTGGTGACTCACTCAACTCTTCTTTTTGTGTTTTTAATTATACAGAGAAGTTGGGTAATTCAATATTCACTACACTGTTAAGATTTTATGTTTACCGGCATTATTTGTGTTGATTGTTTTTTTAGTAATTAAAAGAGACATATCTTGACTAAATTAAGGTTTTTATTATCTCCAAACCATTTATTTGGTAATTTTGTACATTTTCTTGGCCTACACGGCCTCCAAACATCACTTGCACGCCTCGTGGAATCAGGAGTGTGCTACGTAAGTCAAAAGGTGTATAGAATTACAAAAAAAATGAGTTCACGAAATAATATGATCTTAGTTTAGTTAATATGTTTCTCTGAGATTTCGATCATATAGTCTAAGGATACTTATGTCTTATCCCTAATTAAAATAAGACGAATTTATGATTAAAGACGGAGTCAGTAGAGATTTAGTTCTCGTTTTCATTTTTAGAGTAATTTCCAGTACAGATCAAGCATGTCATACCAGAAGGCTTCTTTAGTTTAAGGATATTTTGTTAGTATCTATGTTAAAAACAATAAACTAGAATTTTTAATAATAATCTGGAAACATAATAAAGAAATTCATAAAAAATATTTGATATTATAAAATCACTTTATGTCCTTATGGAATTTAATGCTCTTATTGTATTAGTGGTTTTGAGTAACAGTATCTCAAACGTCAATAATTTTATTGAACCCAAAGACAATAACAACTCACACAAAGACTAGATAATTGTTAGTTGGAAAAATATGCAGCAAATGTTCAACAATTCAATACAGAAAATTGAGTCCTCTGAATTTATAATCAACGAAAGATAGTATGACCAGATGTTATTGTGTCTTATTGAAAAACTTACAACCTATTCAATGTGAAAATATGTTATTCAAATTGCATCCTTTTTTAGAAAATCCTTCAATTTTCATCCACACCTCTTAAAATTCAATATTCTCCTACATGAATGTAGAATTACTCCTCCGTCCATTTTTATTTGTCATGTTGCGCTTTTTAAAAGTCAGTTTGACTAATCTTCAAAGTTAAATTAAATTACATTAATTTGATATTTTAAACAAAAAAAATTAGATATTCAAAAACTATACGAAAAGTACTATAAATTGCAATTTTTTGCATATCAATATGATGAAAAAATACTTTATAAAGTTGGTCAATTTTTTTTATAGTTTGACTCTAAAAAGGAAACTATGACAATTAAAAGTGGACGGATGTAGTACTATATTATGAAAAACATGCATACAAATTGTGTGGTTCGTTAGTAAAGGTTAATTACATTTAGATTAGTAGGTTTTTCTTTGAACTTTCATTAGTAAATTAAACATATATTGGATATACTTGGTCAATCTGTAGATTTGATATACTTAAACAAATAAGCTTTGGTTTATACCTTAACAAAACATATCACGTAGTTAATCCCTAATCGTCTTTGATTCTTAATGTTTTTGTTCATTTTTACCATGAACATCGTCTGATTGATAAGTGCATAGAGAATTAACGGCTTACACTTTACACTTACATAGATGATTCCTAAGTATGTCCTCATGTAGATACACTATTTGATATACCAAATATCAAACTTATATCATTAAATATTCTTAATGTCTTATCGTTGTTACTGAATGTTATGTCATCATGAGAA